CCTGTCACCTGTTTTGAAAATAGGTATCACATTTGCCATTTTCCACTTATCTGGCACCTTGCCAGTTTGTAGTGATATGTTGAAAAGATTAGCCAAAGGTGTGCTAAGCTCCTCTTTACATTCCTTTAGAACCCTTGCATACAGTTCATCAGGGCCTGGGGATTTGTTAGGTTTTAATTTATCTATTTGCCTAAGGACCATGTCACTTGTGACCCTAATAGTGCACAGTTTATTATCGTCCTGTTCTACATAATTTATCATTACTGGAATATCGCTGGTATCCTCCTGTGTAAAAACTGAGAGGAAGTATGTGTTAAAAATTCTACACATTTCCTTATCACTGTCAGTGAGCTGACCCGAGGAACTTTTGAGTGGGCCTATCTTGTCCCTGATCTTACTTCTGTATACCTGAAAGAATCCTTTTGGGTTAGTCTTCGATTCTCTTGCAACTTTAACCTCATAATCTCTTTTTGCTTTTCTAATTCCCTTTTTTATTTCTCTCTTTAACTGAATATATCGATTTCTCAATTGCCCCTCTCCTCTTTTGATTTGCCTATATATGCCTCTCTTTTGACCAATCAGATATTTTAATCTATTGTTCATCCATTTAGGATCATTTTTGTTTGATCTGATTTCCCTATTTGGAACATAATTTGACTGAGCAGCTAGAACTATGCCCTGGAAAGCATCATATCGGCAACCATCACCACCTACCTGACCCTTAGTCAGGTCATTCCAGTTCATCCCACCTAAGTAATTTTTCAGTCCTATGAAATCAGCCAAGCGAAAGTCAGGGACGGAGACTTGATTGCCATTATTAGGGGAATTCCATGATATATTAAAACTGAGTGATTTGTGATCACTTTCCCCAAGCTCATCATTAACCTCAAGATTATTAATTAGTGTTTCCCTACTGGCAAGAACCAAGTCAAGGAGGTTATTTCCCCTAGTTGGCTCTGTCACAAACTATTTTAAAAAACAATCCTGGATCGTATCAAGAAAGTCACCTGACTCTAAATTTCCTGTCAAATTGCTCCAATCTGTCTATAGTTGAAATCTCCCATTAGCACAACATTTTCGTATGTAGATGCCTTACGAATTTCGTCCCATAGAAGTTTACTGCACTCCCTATCAAGATTTGGGGCCCTGTAAATCACACCCAAAATTAGTTTTTCTCGGCCCTCGAGAAGCTGTAACCAAACAGATTCAGTGGCTGACGCTTCTAATTTAATATCTTGTCTAACACAACAATTTAAATTGTCTCTGACGTACATCGCTACTCCACCACCTTTCCTGTTGACCCTGTCAGTGTGGAATAATTTATAGCCTTGTATGTGACATTCAGAGGGCATCTCTCTATCTTTCAGATTGAGCCAGGTCTCTGTTATAGCAATAATATCTATGTTTCCTGCACTTGCAATTAATCTTAGCTCATCTATCTTATTTCTTACACTCCTGCTATTAGTATAGTAAACCTTAAGGGAGCTAGTCCCTTGCTGCCCTCTGCTGTCCCCCTTTGTTTGCTGACCTGATCTATTGTCTTTATTTATAACTTCATGCTGAATGCCTTTTATACATTTACTGTTTCCAACCCAAGTGTTGCAACCTGCTTGTTTCCCACACACACCCATACCTCTATCTTCCATCAGTTTAAAATCATAGGCATTTCACCAATGGCCTTCTCAATCGAGTCTGCAAGTGCTACCACCCCAGCCCCAGAGAGATGTACCCCATCCCTTGCATACATATCATGTTTGCCATAAAAGTTGTTCCAGTTGTCAATGAATGGGATTGCAAGTTCCTTGCAGTATCTGTCTAGCCAGCAATTTACACCAATTGCCCTAGACAACCATTCATTTCCTACTCCCCTTCTAGGCAAGATACTACATATGATTGGGATCCCTCCCTTAGACTTAATGAAATCTATAGCTGACCTGTACTTATCTAGCAGCTCTTCTCTCCTACCCTTCCCAATATCATTTCCACCAGCACTGAGACAGATAATGGGCTTGTTCCCATTACCTGACATGATATTATCCAGCTTGTTGACAATGTCCCCAACACCAGCTCCAGGGAAGCACACTCTATCCCTCATCTTCTTATTCCTATTACAAAAAGCACGGTCAATATATCTTACCTGAGAGTCACCAACCACAAGAATGCGCTTACCTCCATTAGCAGGGGCAGTAGTACCCTTACCTTCACTGGCCACTGAAGTACATTCATCCTGAAGAACTGAGAAGCGATTTCCTACCTTCAGATCTTCACTCTTAACTTTCCTTACTCTAATGCGCCTTCCATTACTGTGAACCACTCGACACTTGTAGCAGGTGCTGGACTGCACCTCACTGCTGGTAGCCGTTGCTACCTCCCCAACTACAGCCTCCTCACAGCGAGAGACAGACTGCACCTCACTTGAAGCCTCATTCCCCACAACTCCAGCCACCTCACACTCTCTCCCAGACCCATTGAGGTGGACCTTCAGCCTCCTAATCTCCTCCTGGAGAAGCAAGACCTCCTCCTTCAACTCTCCAACCTCAATTTTTAAAACACTGCAGAAGCAAGCCATGCTTTGTAACCGTCCACACTAATCCCCAAAGCAGCTCAGGGTCTGTGACCTCACGTGACGACTGACCACTGACGACTGAGAGTATAGACGTATGAGAGTATAGTTTTACCAACGCTCTTATATGGGTGTGAAGCATGGGAGATGAATGTTGCAGCGAGGAAAAGGCTGGAGGCAGTGGAGGTGTCATGTCTGAGGGCAATGTGTGGTGTGAATATAATGCAGAGAATTCGTAGTTTGGAAGTTAGGAGGAGATGCGGGATTACCAAAACTGTTGTCCAGAGGGCTGAGGAAGGGTTGTTGAGGTGGTTCGGACATGTAGAGAGAATGGAGCGAAACAGTATGACTTTAAGAGTGTATCAGTCTGTAGTGGAAGGAAGGCGGGGTAGGGGTCAGCCTAGGAAAGGTTGGAGGAAGGGGGTAAAGGAGGTTTTGTGTGCGAGGGGCTTGAACTTCCAGCAGGCATGCGTGAGCGTGTTTGATAGGAGTGAATGGAGACAAATGGCTTTTAATACTTGACGTGCTGTTGGAGTGTGAGCAAAGTAACATTTATGAAGGGATTCAGGGAAACCGACAGGCCGGACTTGAGTCCTGGAGATGGGAAGTACAGTGCCTGCACTCTGAAGGAGGGGTGTTAATGTTGCAGTTTAAAAACTGTAGTGTAAAGCACCCTTCTGGCAAGACAGTGATGGAGTGAATGATGGTGAAAGTTTTTCTTTTTCGGGCCACCCTGCCTTGGTGGGAATCAGCCAATGTGTTAATAATAATAATAAAAAAATTAGTATTATTATTATTTTCATAATCACCGACGAGTCTGATTGCTGGCATGATGTGTGTGTTGCTACGCGCGTGCTGGCGGCGATTGTCCTGTTGGTCTCGTCACGCCACTTGAGTGGCATAATACATTTTCGAGATTAAAAGTGGCATAATGGTACCTATACACACCATTAACAGCACCAAACATCTACGAAGAGGCTCTTTAAAGTTATTGCACAGAAGCCAGTTGGTATTATAGTGCCAAGCGAAGATAACCTGTACAAGCCAGTTGTTCCAGGGACGTTTCCCTAGTTTTAGATGACCAGGGTTGATAATTGAAGCTCTTAAGGCATTCTGAACTCATAAAGAAAAGGTCTGGAGGCAGCTTGAAATAAATTGTATTAATTTATTACTTTAGTTAATGTTCTAGAGTCGTGGTTTATCATAATTAATATTTGTGTTAAGAAGAGATGAAGGGGTTTGAGCCATTGTTAATATGTTTTACCAAAAGTGTTGTTTATGGAATGCTTTGTAAGTTCAAAGGATTTTGGAGGCAATTAATGGAAGACATGAACACTGTTCCTAACACTATGACCGGCTTTAGCATACACTTGTGTGAAAACATAATATTTAAGGGCTCATTAAACTCGAATCAACTAAGAAAACCATAAAAGCGTGAGTGGCATGGTGGTGGCATGTATGTTGAAGTGGAGATGGTGGCAAGTATGTTGAAGTGGAGATTAAGGCATGTATATTGAAGTGGAGATGGTTGCATGTATGTTGAAGTGGAGGAGGTGGCATGAGGCATGTATGTAGAAGTGAAGATGGTAGCAGCTTTATTGAATTTAAAATACTGAAGAGCCCTGAAAGATAAAACAGTTGATTCTATCTTCATTAAGAAAGTCTTATTTCTTATTTTTTTCTATACACCATGCAAACTAACACCTATACAGCCCTTAATTAAACACAAAATACTTCCAATTACCATAGATAAGCTCTTCGAGCAGAGGTCTTTCCTAGTTCTCACATTTAAACTAATTTATATAATATAATTGGAAAATTAAAATTTGCACAGCTCAAATTGAATGCCAAACTTTCTTTCAATGAAACCCAGCAACTCTGAAATTTTGAAACCTATCAAAAAAGAAATCCTCTAGTTATTACTCTGAACTCAACCTTTCCCACGACATTCAATAGTTTCAATATAATTTCAAAATTTCACCTTCACAGTGTTAACTTACATGATTTTTCTTGTAAAATTGGCTAGTGTACATTTACACACTCCAGCATCACTCTGCGCCGTCGTCAAAGTGGGAGGCTTTTTTTTTTTTTTTTTTTACATTTGATGCCATGCAGCAGAGGTTTTTGGAGGTTATCGAACCAATTCATGGAATACTGGATTGGAGGTTATCGAACCAATTCATGGAATACTGGAATGAATTCTACAAACCTTAGGTATATGGAATTTGTACATACAAATAGTTGTACACATTTGAAGTCAATCGAAGGAGGATTTCAAGTGCCATGAACGAAATAAGCAAAAAGTCGAAAGAAGGAAAAATATTATATATAAAATAAAAATCAGGCAACCACTTAAGGGATGCCAGTTAAATGAGAAAGTTGTTTGCTATGAAAAGAAAATCATATATATTGATTTGCATATTTGTATCTATCGTAGGTATCAAGAAGTTAATGATCCTCGGCAACACAACTGCTCTCAGATCTCGACTCAAGTCAAAGTTCCACGAAAAGGTAAGAATTACTAGAAATTGTAGTTGTCAGTATTTTACTGCGCTTAAAGTCGCATCATATATCAGTAACGTGGTGTGATATTTAATGAATGATAATTATCTTGTTAATGTCTTCTCTCAGCCTGTACCAGGGTGTGAGGGGGAGAAATTCGGGTCGTTCAGGTACTTTGGATGCTACATACAACACATGTCCTCCTCCTTCTGGCATCCAACTAGCACCTGCAAGATGGGTCCTTCCTCTGATCCCCTTGCTGTTGTCAGTCACAGACTCAGGTGAGAAGATCAGTCAGTTATTCAACCTATGTTAAACAATCATTCACCAAGAATTCATTAAGGGATCACCTATCATTCTGTTATTCATTGAATTCCAAAACATAGTTTAGGTTATGATGGAGCTAGTAATGAATATACGAGTACGTTGTTGCAGGGAAGGTGTGGCGAGTGTGTTGACGTGAAGCTTGCATGTTGAAGGGGATGTGTGGCGAGTGTGTTGACGTGAAGCTTGCATGTTGAAGGGGAGGTGTGGCGAGTGTGTTGACGTGAAGCTTGCATGTTGAAGGGGAGGTGTAGCGAGTGTGTTGACGTGAAGCTTGCATGTTGAAGGGGAGGCGTGGCGAGTGTGTTGACGTGAAGCTTGCATGTTGAAGGGGAGGTGTGGCGAGTGTGTTGACGTGAAGCTTGCATGTTGAAGGGGAGGTGTAGCGAGTGTGTTGACGTGAAGCTTGCATGTTCAAGGGGAGGTGTGGCGAGCGTGTTGACGTGAAGCTTGCATGTTGAAAGGGAGGCGTGGCGAGTGTGTTGACGTGAAGCTTGCATGTTGAAGGGGAGGTGTGGCGAGCGTGTTGACGTGAAGCTTGCATGTTGAAAGGGAGGTGTGACGAGTGTGTTGACGTGAAGCTTGCATGTTGAAGGGGAGGTGTGGCGAGTGTGTTGACGTGAAGCTTGCATGTTGAAGGGGAGGTGTGGCGAGTGTGTTGACGTGAAGCTTGCATGTTGAAGGGGAGGTGTGGCGAGTGTGTTGACGTGAAGCTTGCATGTTGAAGGGGAGGTGTAGCGAGTGTGTTGACGTGAAGCTTGCATGTTGAAGGGGAGGTGTGGCGAGTGTGTTGACGTGAAGCTTGCATGTTGAAGGGGAGGTGTGGCGAGTGTGTTGACGTGAAGCTTGCATGTTGAAGGGGAGGTGTGGCTAGTGTATTGACGTGAAGCTTGCATGTTGAAGGGGAGGTGTGGCGAGTGTGTTGACGTGAAGCTTGCATGTTGAAGGGGAGGTGTGGCGAGCGTGTTGACGTGAAGCTTGCATGTTGAAAGGGAGGTGTGGCGAGTGTATTGACGTGAAGCTGGCATGTTGAAGGGGAGGTGTGGCGAGTGTATTGACGTGAAGCTTGCATGTTGAAGGGGAGGTGTGGCGAGTGTGTTGACGTGAAGCTTGCATGTTGAAGGGGAGGTGTGGCGAGTGTGTTGACGTGAAGCTTGCATGTTGAAGGGGAGGTGTGGCGAGTGTGTTGACGTGAAGCTTGCATGTTGAAGGGGAGGTGTGGCGAGTGTATTGACGTGAAGCTTGCATGTTGAAGGGGAGGGTGTGGCGAGTGTATTGACGTGAAGCTTGCATGTTGAAGGGGAGGTGTGGCGAGTGTATTGACGTGAAGCTTGCATGTTGAAGGGGAGGTGTGGCGAGTGTATTGACGTGAAGCTGGCATGTTGAAGGGGAGGTGTGGCAAGTGTGTTGCCGTGAAGCTTGCATGTTGAAGGGGAGGTTGTGGCGAGTGTGTTGACGTGAAGCTTGCATGTTGAAGGGGAGGTGTGGCGAGTGTATTGACGTGAAGCTTGCATGTTGAAGGGGAGGTGTGGCGAGTGTATTGACGTGAAGCTTGCATGTTGAAGGGGAGGTGTGGCGAGTGTATTGACGTGAAGCTGGCATGTTGAAGGGGAGGTGTGGCGAGTGTGTTGCCGTGAAGCTTGCATGTTGAAGGGGAGGTGTGGCGAGTGTGTTGACGTGAAGCTTGCATGTTGAAGGGGAGGTGTGGCGAGTGTATTGACGTGAAGCTTGCATGTTGAAGGGGAGGTGTGGCGAGTGTATTGACGTGAAGCTTGCATGTTCAAATGGAGGCAGTGTTATGTGTGGAGAAGTGGAGGTGAAGGGTGCTGAAATGAAGAAGGAAGCGTGTGTTGAAGCGAAGGTGGGAACATGTGTGTTGAAGTGGTGGTGGCATGTATGGCTGAAGCGGAGGAGACAGCCTACATGCTCAGACTGACGCAATGGTACTTGAGGAAAGTATAAGTATTACAGGAATGTAAAACTAAAGGTGTGGGACTGTGTGTTTAAGTAGCGAGTGTAGAGAAGTTAACAAGATGTTGAAGTGGAGGTGGTGCAAGTGAGTTATGTGGAGGTGGTGCAAGTGAGTTATGTGGAGGTGGTGCAAGTGAGTTACGTGGAGGTGGTGCAAGTGAGTTATGTGGAGGTGGTGCAAGTGAGTTATGTGGAGGTGGTGCAAGTGAGTTATGTGGAGGTGGTGCAAGTGAGTTATGTGGAGGTGGTGCAAGTGAGTTATGTGGAGGTGGTGCAAGTGAGTTATGTGGAGGTGGTGCAAGTGAGTTATGTGGAGGTGGTGCAAGTGAGTTATGTGGAGGTGGTGCAAGTGAGTTACGTGGAGGTGGTGCAAGTGAGTTATGTGGAGGTGGTGCAAGTGAGTTATGTGGAGGTGGTGCAAGTGAGTTATGTGGAGGTGGTGCAAGTGAGTTATGTGGAGGTGGTGCAAGTGAGTTATGTGGAGGTGGTGCAGTGAGTTATGTGGGGTGGTGCAAGTGAGTTATGTGGAGGTGGTGCAAGTGAGTTATGTGGAGGGGGTGCAAGTGAGTTATGTGGAGGTGGTGCAAGTGAGTTATGTGGAGGTGGTGCAAGTGAGTTATTTTGGAGGTGGTGCAAGTGAGTTATGTGGAGGTGGTGCAAGTGAGTTATGTGGAGGTGGTGCAAGTGAGTTATGTGGAGGTGGGTTGCAAGTGAGTTATGTGGAGGTGGTGCAAGTGAGTTATGTGGAGGTGGTGCAAGTGAGTTATGTGGAGGTGGTGCAAGTGAGTTATGTGGAGGTGGTGCAAGTGAGTTATGTGGAGGTGGTGCAAGTGAGTTATGTGGAGGTGGTGCAAGTGAGTTATGTGGAGGTGGTGCAAGTGAGTTATGTGGAGGTGGTGCAAGTGAGTTATGTGGAGGTGGTGCAAGTGAGGTGAGTGAAGGTGATGCAAGTGAGTTGAGTGGAGGTAGTGCAACTGAGTTGAGTGGAGGTGGTGCAAGTGAGTTATGTGGAGGTGGTGCAAGTGAGGTGAGTGAAGGTGATGCTAGTGAGTTGAGTGGAGGTGGTGCAAGTGAGTTGAGTGGAGGTGGTGCAAGTGAGTTGAGTGGAGGTGGTGCAAGTGAGTTATGTGGAGGGTGCAAGTGAGGTGAGTGAAGGTGGTGCAAGTGAGTTGAGTGGAGGTGGTTGCAAGTGAGTTGAGTGGAGGTGGTGCAAGTGAGTTGAGTGGAGGTGGTGCAAGTGAGTTGAGTGGAGGTGGTGCAAGTGAGTTATGTGGAGGTGGTGCAAGTGAGGTGAGTGAAGGTGATGCAAGTGAGTTGAGTGGAGGTGGTGCAACTGAGTTGAGTGGAGGTGGTGCAAGTGAGTTGAGTGAAGGTGGTGCAAGTGAGTTTGAGTGGAGGTGGTGAAAGTGAGTTGAGTGGAGGTGGTGCAAGTGAGTTGAGTGAAGGTGGTGCAACTGAGTTGAGTGGAGGTGGTGCAAGTGAGTTGAGTGAAGGTGGTGCAAGTGAGTTGAGTGCAGGTGGTGCAAGTGAGTTGAGTGGAGGTGGTGCAAGTGAGTTGAGTGAAGGTGGTGCAAGTGAGTTATGCGGACGTGGTGCAAGTGAGTTGAGTGAAGGTGGTGCAAGTGAGTTGAGTGGAAGTGGTGCAAGTGAGTTGAGTGAAGGTGGTGCAAGTGAGTTATGTGGAGGTGGTGCAAGTGAGTTGAGTGGAGGTGGTGCAAATGAGTTAAGTGAAGGTGATGCAAGTGAGTTGAGTGGAGTTGGTGCAAGTGAGTTGAGTGGAGGTGGTGCAAGTGAGTTGAGTGGAGGTGGTGCAAGTGAGTTGAGTGGAGGTGGTGCAAATGAGTTGAATGAAGGTGATGCAAGTGAGTTGAGTGGAGTTGGTGCAACTGAGTTGAGTGGAGGTGGTGCAAATGAATTGAGTGGAGGTGGCGCAAGTGAGTTGAGTGAAGGCGATGCAAGTGAGTTGAGTGGATGTGGTGTAACTGAGTTGAGTGAAGGTGGTGCAAGTGAGTTGAGTGGAGTTGGTGCAAATGAGTTGAGTGAAGGTGGTGCAAGTGAGTTGAGTGGAGGTGGTGCAACTGAGTTGAGTGAAGGTGATGCAAGTGAGTTGATTGGATGTGGTGCAAATGAGTTAAGTGGAGGTGGTGCTAGTGAGTTGAGTGGAGGTAGTGCAAGTGGAGGTGGTGGCACATGTGTGCAAGAAGAGATGGTACAAGTGTTGACATAAAGAACAAGTGAACTGCACAGGAGGTGGTACATGTACTTTAAAAGGAGGTGGAACAGGTACACTGTAGTGAAGGTGGTGGTCTGTGTGATGAGGTGGAAGAGGTGGTATTTCCTTTAAAATGGAGGTGCTACAAGTGTCGTGAAGCAGAGGAGGTGGCATGAGTAGTAAAGTGCAGATGGACGCCTACGTGTTGAAGAGCAAGTGTTGATGAAGATGTAGTGGCATGTGTGTTGAAGTGACGGTGGTGGTATGTATGTTGAAGTAGAGGTTGTGGCACGTATGTTGAAGTGGAGGTGGTGGCATGTATGTTCAAGTGGAGGTGGTAGCATGTATGTTGAAGTGGAGGAGGTGGCATGAGGCATGTATGTAGAAGTGAAGATGGTAGCATGTATGTTGAACTGGAAATGGTGGCATGTATGTTGAAGTAGAGATGGTGGCATGTGTTCAAGTGAATTTCGTGACATGAATGCTGAAGTGGAGGTGGTGGCATGTATGTTGAAGTGAAGGTGGAGGCATGTATGTTGAAATGGAGGTGGTGGCATGTGTTGAAGTGAAGGTGGTGATATGTATGTTGAAGTGGAGTTAGAGGAATCTACATTAAAGAAGAGGTGGTGGCATGTATGTTGAAGTGGAGGAGGTGGCATGTTTTGAAGTGGGCGTGGTGGCATGTATGTTGAAGAGGAGGTGGTCGCATGTATGTAGAACTGGAGGAAGTAGCACTTGGGTTGAAGTGGAGGAGGAGGTATGAGGCATGTATAT